ATCTGATTCATAATGTATTTCAGTTCCAGAGTTTTGTATCAGTGGCCCATTCTTCTGGAAGGATCTGGGAGTCAAAATAGGGGAAGCTGGTATTATTTCTTTATTTACAACATTTTTATACTCCTCGGGCCAAAGATATTGGCTGATGCCCAATCAAAAAATTTGAACTAAGATATAATTGAAAATGAAGTATTTCTTATGTATACAATAGTAATATGACTCTCCTTTGAAAAGTAATAGTTGCAGCCCAGTGAAATGTTTTGATGGATTGGGTCATTTGAAATCATGACTAAGCTGCCAGTTTGCATCTGAAAAGAAACTGAAAATTAGATTGAAATCTTCCTTAATGACATAAATATAAGGGAGTTTCATGACCATATGAATCTCCTGAATCATAGATTCAGGGGAGATTTTATAAGCAGGATTTTTTTTTGCTTTATTAAAGGTCAAATCAAGATTTATTTGATATTAATAGTTAACTGTGCTGCTATGTTTAGGACAGCCTTAACACTAACTCTAACCAGATTAGGTATATTATATTGAATCATTGATTATGCTAGCTGGAATATGATCCAGATCAAAACTAGACTTCAACTGCTATTAGTATTTCTGTACTAAATGTCTTCATTTACCATTTACCAGGACAGCTTTTATTGAGACTTTAGACAAAAAAAAAAGGGGGGGAGTAACACTTTTTCTCATGTGTACTGGTCCTTCTGAAAAATTCATGCTGCAGACTTCTATCATCTAAATCCACACTGAGCCCAACTCATTTACTTTCACGTACGAACGTTGGTGGTTATTAAGAGATGCAACAGGAAGTTTCCTCTGTGTGAGCCTTTTGCTACTGGACTGATTTAAGTCATGGTTTCAGGACATCATTCTTGTAAACATTATTTTTAGTAACAGGTTCCTAAAAACGATCTGTAGAAATTTCTCTAAGTCAGCGTTCTGCTTCTAACTTTCTTGGTAGGTTTGTAGTAATCATTTGTTCCTCTATAATGGCAACGAGAGGTTTTGAGTTGTAAGTGGGAAACCCAGTTCCAGTTTCAGCTCTGTGATGAATCATCATGAAACACAAAGATCATTCTACTGAGATAACCATCTCTAAATTTTTGCATAGCTAAGACAAGTCTATTAATAAACAATACGTAATACAGTTTAATCCTATCGTTCCTCCAAATAGAGTCATATGGGAAAAGATCTATACATTCTGTTGTAATAGGTTTCTATGTGTGTAGATAAGATATTACATTAAAAATAATTTCAAGTTCAATTGCTGTTCAGAGGGCACATAGCAAACAATATAGTGAAATATCAATTGTGTTTATAGAATGAGAACAACACACAGTTCCTAAAATTTGGAAAAATATGATATTGTAGCATTCTAGTACTTCTGTTTCCTACAAAAGAGATGGTCATCCTCCTGCTTTTTGTGTTGTCCATCTATTTTGTACCTTTCATCCATCAATCTATCCATCTGAAAGGGACTTGTTCTCTGCTGTATAGGTCACAAAATCAAATTGTACAGGTCACAAAGTCTAACCTGCAAGAAGGCACATTGCATATTGTATTGTATTGTATTTAATAAATTTATAGGCCGCCCAATCCCGAAGGACTCTGGGCGGCTTACAGAAAATAAATTATAAAAAAAAACAAAAAAAAACAGAGGAAACAGATTCAAAACCACATCATGCGCCCAATCTGGTCGGGGCTGGACCTCAGTCATGAGGTCAACAGCCCCAGGCCTGCCGGAATAGCCAGGTTTTGATAGCCTTTCGGAAGGCCATGAGAGTGGGTAGAGTCCGGATCTCTGGGGGGAGTTCATTCCATAGGGTCGGAGCAGCTACAGAGAAGGCCCTCCCCCGGGGAGCCACCAGCCGACATTGTGCGGTTGACGGCACTTGGAGAAGGCCCACCCTGTGCGATCTTATCGGCCATTGGGAGGTATGTGGCAGTAGGCGGTCTCGCAGGTATCCAGGTCCTAGGCCACGTAGGGCTTTAAAGGTAAGATTCTGCTTGCTTTAAACCAGAATCCTTCACGGAACATGGGATTGGACTGAACTGTCTGTGATCACAAGAAACTAAAGGAAAGGCCCTTGGTGATTGGAAATCAGTAGATTGAAGAATGTGGTTGCTTATCTGTAAAGTCATTTTAGTCAGACTTTCTTCATAGATACAATTTTTCCTGAAATGTCACATTAAAAAAATAATAATCTCATGACCAATAATTTATGTCAGGAAGCAAAAATAAACCCATCCTGTCCTTGTCCTGCCCTGGCAGTTGTGCTCTAATTGTTGTGTTCCAATGCTAGTCAGTTTCACTAGCAAATCTCCAATTGATATGCTAAAGAATGCTAATGGACAGGTACTAATTCTGTCAAAGGATTCAAAGGAGATCAAAGGAGGATGGAAGAAATATACTGAAATACAGTTCAATGGAGATGACAACATCCAAGTTATCTCAGAAGATATTTCCTACTTATAAGAATCTCTAGTTCTAGAAAGGTCAAATCAGTACTCTGGTCATTAACAACATAGAAGGCAACAGGAATTGATGGAATACCATAGAAAAATCACAAAGAACAGCGAAGAATCAGTAAACTTTCTAACCAATCTGTGCTAGCAAATCTGGAAAACATCATACTGGCCAACCGATTGGAAGAAACCAGTCTACATTCCAATACCAAAAAGGGACACTTAATAGAATATGCAAACTATTGTACAATAGTATTAATTTCACAACTAGCTAGAATCAGTTGCGAACAGTAAAGAAAAAGTTGGAAGTTTTCACAATGTGTTTGGCTAAGATAATGATGAAAGCTAAGGGGCATCAGCAAAAAGGAGTAAATAATGACAGCTGTACGATGACTTAATCACCATTCTGTCATCATTCTGACATTGGTGCTTTGCTTCAGGCAATATTCTACTTTTCCTAATATCCCAATTATGTATTTTATAACATTTTTGCAAGATGAATTAAAGACAAACCCTATCGAAGATTAAAAAAAATTCCATTCAGTTGAAATACTGTATTAGTTATTTGTAGTACAAATAAGCACTTAAAAAAATATAGATAATCCTCGACTAAGCCTACAGTTTTTGTTGCTGTGATACATTTGTTAAATGAATTTTGCTGCATTTTATGACATTTCTAGAACTAGAGATTCTTATAAGTAGGAAATATCTTCTGAGATAACTTGGATGTTGTCATCTC